AAGAACGCGCCTTGATGTTAGAAGAATATATCAAGAAACTTACCATATTTATGAGAACTAACTCAGTGTGATTACACCATTTTGACTACAGTATTCATCTGTCTCTTATCATCATGGCATAAACACAATTTGTCAGAAAGAGACGCAAGATTAGTAGTAGTTTAGTAACATTCGTTCATTAGTTTAGTAAGTTTCGATAATCAGGTAATTAAATAAGCAAAATAAATAATGTATATTACATATTGTTGTTAAAATATAGATGGATCAGATTAAACCTTTTTTGCCGACGGTACTACAAACCAAATGCGGCATTAACGCCCTACAGTTTTAAACTGCACGGAACATTGCATCGGCGCTTGATTTATAATTACGGTCACATAAAGGACCTGAAACCCGTCGTTACGGTTCTGTTTCAAACTAAATCAATGTCTCACGCATTTTGTTTAAGTCATAATAAAATTTACATTTTCAAATGTTTGGAGGCTATCACTACTCGTACTGAATATTTTATTGTCATGAGATTACTCACAGTTAAGGCATTAATGTTATTACAAGTACGTATCTAGTGAAAAGACGAGTATTTTTTTTTATATATACCAATAAAAATAAATTATAATTTGTGCTTGCCTCGCTCAACGAATTACTATCTATTATCTATATTACAGCTAGTAAATGCTGCCAGCATTAAAGAAACTGCCACAGGGACCAAACTTTTTAAATTTGTTTTTATTTTCTAATATTAATAAATTAATTATGATTAAGTTAAGAATATTGTTAATACTTTATATTTGTGTGTTGGACGCCAATTATTATTTTAATAATGTTAGAAGTGTATCTACATAATATCAAAATAATGTTGACTTCGAGCTTTAGGCGTAAGTACGAAAAACGGTATTTCCCTTCAATGAAGATTCGAAGAAATTTCCTGAGTCAATGCAAACCTGTCATCGATTAGGCATCTGAATAGTACCCTTACAGTGAAACCTAAAAATTCAATTAATCCTTCTTCAATCGATTCCAAGAATTATTTATGTCAATAAAACAAAACGCCGCAAAACTCAGCAGAGTTGTCGTCCCGTTATGTGACTTTGTCTCTTTCTGTTAGCCAGCATCTGTATATAATCGTCTCTTTTACCCTTGAATGGTGAATACCACATTACCAGGTCGATACCAGTTTTGGTGAACAACAAAGACATACCTTTGGATCCGAATTCGCAAAGATGGAGTCACTGTGTAGTATATAAATGCCTATGTATATAAGTATAATTTGTGTAGATATTTTTGATAGTTAGAGAAGGCTTAACGTCTCAAGAGAATTCTCAAAATTATGATTTAGTGTGTTCAATAGCTACTTGCTCCATGGTTCAATTTATTTGGTATAAAACTCAACTAGAGAACGAATTTGTACTAGAGTTTAGCCATAATATTCCTTGATAAAATTCGTTCTGTCTTCTACCTTGGACCCGGAACGAATAAATTACTAGTAAAAACTAAAATTTGTAGTTAGAAGAATAATATTTTTTTTAATATTTTTTTGCCAACTGTATATTCACGATGTATTTTAGAATAGATACTGCAACATATACTGTAGAAAATACATTATATATCATGTTGTGTGTTTAATAAATAAATATGTAAATAATGAATTTCACACCGTGATTTTTTAACCTTTTTACTATACTATTTCAGATTTTCGCTTAGCATATTAGTTAACGGTTGAAGTACTTAGATATTCTAACCTGTACCAGTGTACCACTTATAGAAAGGTTTTTTTAGGTTCTTTACGGGTCGATTACATATCTGATTCATTGTTTTTATATTTATATATATGCTGGGTCCCTAGTGATGCTTTTACTGTATGGGATAGCCAATGAGAGCAGTGTTTGCCCAATAGCCTGAGCGTCGGTCCCTCTACCCTGAGGTCGTGCGTTCGAGTCATGGCTGTTCACGAATGGACTTTGCATGTGAAAACTTCGTGAGAAAACTGGCAAATTTTACGCTTAAAATTCGACAGAGTGTGTTAGGCGCAGAAGGCTGATTAAGAAAGAAAATGATCATGAAAGAGATAAAGAAATCTGAGGCCAAGACTTGAGGTTATAGGGCCTGGTATGGGCTATATGCTAAAAGGCTCGGAGAAGTCGAGACAGTTTGATAATATAACTATATTAAGTCTAGAAATCTATATAAATAAAAATATGCTAAGCGCAAAACTCTTGCGACAAATTCTAAGTCTTGATAGACACGGTTGAAAGAGAGGAGCAGTCTCGATGGAGATTTTGCTCTAAACGCCTAACAGCTCTCAACACATCTGCTCATAGTCTAGCAGACTGATTGCAAGATAAACACTTATATAAAAAAACCGCAAAACTCGATCGATCTAATTCGAGTCATTTTTATTTTTATTTATTCCATGAACACTGATGAAGTTTTATATGGAGAGACAGTATTAAAAATATATAAAAAAAGGAAAAATGTTGTTTTGTTTAGTACTAAGGTTTTTATTCCGGAAAAGCGAACCATCTCTACGGGGTAGCATAACAAAATGTTCGATGCGTTAGTATGTAGCTACTAAAAAGGTAGGTTAAGTAAAATCAAATCAAGGCGAATCGAAGTTCGCGGGGCACATTAACAAATCCTAAAATACACAGCAAAATAACACTTACGTCTCATAAACATAAGATATAAGATGAAAACTGTAGATGTCCATAGAATAACAACTGCCAGGATTGTACTTATAGTGGAATTTAAAAACCAAATGGACCACCCATTGGCTGCCCTTATTTATTGTTTTAATTAAAACAACATAATTCAGAGTCCGCCAAACGCGCCTATGTGACAGCCCGTAATTCTTGAGTTTAGCTTCTGAATACGAACCCTATTAAATGATGTATGAAGTTCCATAGCGATAAAGATCAGGCGATGAAATAACTCACATAAAACCGTGTGGCCGTGTTTTTCGGATAAAAATTCTCGTAATCTTCAAAGTTGAACTCATATACAGTCGTAATTTTTTATACAATTAGGGAGCAAACGGGCAGGAGGCTCATCTGATGATAGTATTACCGCTATGGACACTCTCAATGCACCTTTTAAGAATAGATTGGTTTCTACCTACCTATAGGTTTTTACCTAGACTCCAGCTTGGGCATGAAGACTACCCGTTGCAATTTTTCTAAGACAAAAACATCTCCAAATCCGCAGACACGCACGTTTCAGCCTATTTAGCTGCTAGTGTCCTGCATAACATAATAGTAGGTAATGTCCGATAGTCCTTGGAAAAGCGCGTATAAGAGTCGAGTCGTGACCGTTTGTGTCGGACATCCAATTGGAGATATAGAATATGTATATTCTTTGTATGTATGCTATACTATGCATGCGCGAATGCACAGTATAGCATATATCGTAGAATTCCAGTCTCATTAGATAGTCGCCATCGTCGGTAAGGAAAACTGTTAATGTTTTTATAATCTGATTTAAATCATATGTGAAGTGAGCTCCCAACAACTCACACACAACAAACAATATTTATGATAAAAGTGGCAAAATCTTATATTTGGCTCTAATAAAGGTAAAATTTGTACAAAATAAAAGATAACGAAAAATGTAATAGTTTTTATTAACAGATCATTATAATATTTTTTGTGACGTGAGGAAGTGTATCCAAGCGGGAACAGCGTTAGCAAATTTTGATTCTAAAGTATTTTAGTTTCTAAGTATACATTACACTACGTTCTACTGATTTAATGGAAAGAATCGCTTACACATTGCTAAATATCTCTTCATTACTTCATTGATTATTATATAAATTTATACAAAAAAAGGAACTACCAGTGCGTGTATTATCTGGCATACATTTCTACTTACGAATCTTAAAACTACGGTATTTCATAACATTCGATTACACGCTTGCCAATCTAGTTTCTTAATACTAGTCATATCACTAAACATTATATTATGGAAATTTTCATATTTAACTACTTATCTTAAATAACATCTACGTTTTAAATTATTAATTTATGCAATAAATAAATAGTATATATTAAAACCGTTTCGGTTCGTCGAACTTTACATAACATTCAGTTTATCACTGACCACAATAAGAAAATTATTGTTACCATAGTAACTGTCATTTTATGAATACATTATCGCTACGTAACATCCATTTTACAGCTATATATCGAGTAGGTATTGATATGAAAAAATCCCTACGTTTTAATGTGATAGGTGTTAAAACTGAATTTTTTATTTACAAAAAAAAAACAATCGAATTGCACTCTTTTATTAAAGTACTCAGTCTCTGTCTCTACAATAATGTTTACATTGTGATGAAAAGAGACCGAACACTTTAGTTGTGAATAAGGGGATAGAAGCTCTCTTTACTGTAGAGTCTAGGTGAACCTTTTGGATTTTATCATTTGATACTTAGTGCCAGACATAGTTTAAATGTATTATTTTACACTGTTAGTAATACCTGTTTATTTTAATATCAATACTAGTGTTGAATATATGCCGTGGAGAAATTTATGTATAAAGCAAACAGGAGATTGCTGATGAACAGCTTATTAAGGACGGATGTGCGTACTTGTACAAGATCTTCCAGGGTAAAATCTCTATTAAAACTAATCTGGTTAGTTTTATTTTGTCCGCTATTTACAGTGTGTCCTGGCAGAACTTATTTAAGAGTCACGTGGTAAATAACCAAAACGAAACTTTTAAGGGGCTGCAATGGCAGCATACTTATAATTATTGAGATTCCATCATTTAATACATACCTGATGGCATAATGCTATCATTAACAACCGCTTCACAATCAGAGTAAACACAACTAATTTATCTACAGATATACTGTAGGTAAGTACTTACGTTGATATCGTAACGTTATTAGCGTCATTATATACAGTCTCATAGTTCGGGGTTTCACTAGATTGCTAGGAGTTTTACAACGCATTTAGGAACAGTCCCAACTAGATGCACAGCGCTCATAAGGCGCAAAACTGAGGCTATGGACAGTCCATAGAGTTTGGACTTGGCGGGCCACCCATAACACTGTACGGCGGGCTGTGTGGAGGTAGTGACTGAATGGATCCCATCGGGCCGTGGTACATGTCCATCTCCATTGATGCATCCGGTGAGCATTTGTCCGCCATCTTGTTTTCTTGTTTCGTCACCATGCGCCGCCACTTGGCACGAGCATTCTGGAACCAGACCTGCGGACAGAGAAACAACTTAGAAACAAATATATCAGGTGAATACTCGCTAGCGTATACGCAAAGCTGCTTCAGGTTAAAGGATTTCTTCCAAGATTCACTTTGAAGACGAATATTGCACAATTTTTTTTATTGGACTAAATAAGCTTGATCGTCTTTAATAGATTACACTATATCATAGACATGCTTACAGGTTGAATACCACGTACTTGTCATTGGCGCATATCATTAATTCAACAGAGGGATGTCAAATTTCAACAAAGTAAACTTAGCAAAAACTACCAACAAACATTGTCTTGTTTGTGGTAAATTAATTGAAGATTTCCTAACGTTTTCAGGACGTGCGAATATCAGAACCAATGGCGCGCAACTATATCGATAGCCCCGCCCCCTCGTGTCATGGCCGCGACTGCGAATGACTAATGCCAAATTTAGATAATCATCCTATTACTAGAGGATATGCCTTTGAAATTCTATATTACAACCTGATTCTTCAAGTTCCAGTACTGCTACCTACAAAATAATAAATTTCCACCTAGGACTTTCCTTCCAATTGCTTACAGCGTATATTTGCTTACATCTTTCTCTCCCTGCACTGAATATCTCAAGTTACATATTCTAATTAGAATAACTGAAGACATAACGCACTCAACCTGTCGGACACTTCATAAATTAATAACAGGGAACTTGCCAGCATGAAAATTGTTGAAAAGTGAAGACGGTTTGATGATTGATGGACGTGTACCAAGTGAGATGCCCTTTAAGAAAAAGTAAATACGCGCGAAAAAAATTTAAACACGTCTTATTTATTCTGCGATTCTTTTAGATTCGGTCATTGTTCTTACAAATTTACACCCTCGCTACAGCTACCCCTCTAAGTACTGTCCGTAGAGGGTAGACCTCCCAAATTCGATTCAAATGCCTAAAATTTGTATTTACCACTTTTCTTTCATAATATTTTACAGACTAAATATTACTGTACTCTGTATACCTATCATACGATTATTGTCAGATTTGACAGATTAAAAAAATACTTTAAACTTTCTTCTAAATGAAATAAAAATAAAAAAAGGTTTTAAAATGCTGTCTTAAATGTTAGACAGTTAGGATTTATGAATTTGCTTATCATATATAAAATATTTTACTCGTTTCACGTCGAAAGAACCATTCGTTATAGTCATGACATTATACAAATCATGTCTAAGAATAGATCTCTGAAGTCGCCTCAATTACTCTATATTCTGTCGGTCTGACAAACACTAACCCGAAACATAGTACATATTTGTATACAACGAACTCTCCGTTTTCATCCAACTACCTCTGACTAGATGGCTAGGCGGTATCCTCAGATTCAATAACAATTAATATAAGTTATAAGACAAAATGTATCATGAAATCGTAAGATCTTTAACAAGCCCAATAATTAAGGTATTATTAACGAAGAACGGTAACTGAGAATCCCGGATCAAAGACATACATTCCATTTGCGTAAATAAAAAGTAAAGTGATGTGATTAATAGCACGTTTTCCTTATATAAATAATATTTGAATAAATTAGGAGGCAGCGCGCCACGTCCGCCGGGTGCGAGGACGCGCGACCAAATGACAAATGGTTGTCTTTTGAAATCGCGGCGGAAATTATCTGCCCAACCGAGCGTCTCAGGACGATGCGTTCGTACTAATTACTAGAGCGTTTGATTGTGATCTCAATACTGCAATCAAAATTCACTCTTACTATAGTGCTTTAAGGACACATTTTAATTGTTTTTAACCTGTCATTATTAACTCAAATGTACTAAGAAAATAAAATTATACGTGGCTAAATGCCGAGGTGTGACCATCCGCTTCTAATTGCAAGGGTCGTGAGATCTGACGCCTTCTGTATTTTGGAATTAATGATTGCTATATTTTAGGTAAGATATTTAATGAACTTTATATTCTAGAAATACATAATTTATTACGAGAATTAATAATTTATACATTAATGGTTAAAAAAATTGAGATCCTAAGAATATTGTCTCGCATTTATTAATATTTTGCATACTTTTGTTAATAATTCATAAATCATTAATACAGTAGCAGGACGTGATTCAAAGCATATTACCAAGGAACGGCACTTTTTCAAGCAACCAATTACGGCGACCTTCTTGAACTGAGCTCATTTTTCAGGAAACAAAAAAACATAAACGAACCAAGTGACAAATCACGCTATTGCGAACGAAACGGGAGAATTATGGCATGGTTTGTTCTAAATCTGTTTCAGTTGTGTTAACCGAACATACGATACATTTGGTTATATCATTTAAAGACTTTCTTAAAAATATTACAACGCAGTGAACTAAATTTTATTTGCTTATGTATTTTGACATTATACATACAAATTAAATAAACATACTATTCTGTTAAATTAATGGTTTTCAAAGAAGTTAAATTTCTGTTTTTCATGTTACAATTGACTAAATAAATTGATTTGAATAATTTGCATGGTCTACTGATGCCATTAAAGGGCCCAAGGTTTGTCGCCAGAAATATAATAAGTTGTGTGCGAACAACTGTGCGGCGGCGACGCGACGCGGGCACATTCTTTTCACGAGGCGCCTCTGCCCCAGGGCATGGGACGAGAATTACATTTAGTATTTTGTTTTTTGTTATTTATACTAAATTAACGTTAAATAAATAAGCATCGCGTCATGAACCTTTTATAAGATTCTAATAATTCATAATTGTCTAGTAAGGGCGAAAATAGAAATGTAATAAAATCACTCATTTTGGTTCCATGTGTTTTAAGGCGATTAATATTCGAAGTGAAATATAAATATTTTTAAGTATTAACTAAAAATTGTTCATTATTTATTAGTTAATCTTTGAAACAAACAAATGACGACTATACCACTACATATTTGCATTTTCATCGATTAATATTACACGTAATAGTGGTTTATGAGTTAAACACTAGTTCCGTAATCCTCTAAGCTTTACCTACCTCAGCGCCAAAAGCTTAGGAAGCTTAGTGCCGCTTGCGGTAACTATTCGTAAGCGCTATTAGTGTCATCATAAATGATGTTATGCGAAATGAACCAACTCTATCACATATATGTGAATAAATGTTTACCCGGAAGGAAAATTTGTATAAAATCATTTTATATTGTAAGACTTAATAGTCTGTGAATTCTGATATACTAGTAGTAGTGCAAATTAATTAATTATGTAACTTTACATACTAAATAATTGTTTTCTTACACAACCAGCACTGCATTAAGTCAGCTTTTTTTAGACGTTTCTAAGGGGGAGCAGAACCCTAATTCTTAAGCTAGAATATACAAAACAGTTGCAGAGGAATTTCATTTTCCTTACTATGTACCTATCGGTCATCAGCAATTATGACGCGGTAGAGGTATGTACCAAAATTTTACTAACTACAGGTCAATGAATGTCATATTGCTTTGAATCATTGCGATTTTGATATAAATTAAAATAAATGACGCGCGGAAATACCTGTTGGTTATTGTCATTGCACTTTATATTAAAGATTTAAGTTGGCGCCTGGTCGATAGTACCGGTGACCCGGTGGGGCTTTCCTCGCTCAACGAATAAGTAACGCAATGCAGCGAGGAAATGCCACAGGGACAAAACAAAATTTGTTTTAAATTTCTTTTATTAATTTTAATTATTTTTATTATTACAATGTTGGTGAAGAAAATCGTAAATGCTGTATTTGATTGTTAAGATTACTAATAATCATATATTTTGTTTATATTAAATAATTTTGATCAGTATGTCTCTTGTAATAGTATTTATGTGTATTATATTTATTACCCTAATGCTTTGTACTACGCGTATATATTAAGATGGATTTATTTACAGTGATCACAAAACATCCTTAAAGTCGTACAAACTTAAAAAATATCTTTATGCAATCTGAACTTTTGCTATGTATAAAAAGAGAATACATTGGACACGATATCCTCTACAGAAGCGTTAGTCCCCAAGTCAATGCACGCAAAACGAAAAAACACTTATCTTTGCAGAATGGCGACCGCAGACGTGCACTTTTTTCCAGAAAAAAATTCTCGATCAATATTCGGAGGTCTTAGGGAGAGGGGCCATGCCTTCGTATAATTGGTTAAGGGAAAATTTATGCGGCGCGCGCTATCTACTTCGGGCCTGCTCGGCTCGGTTCGGTATGTCGATAAATGGTAAACCTGTAAAGCCTACTCCTTGCTAGTGTGCAATTGTTCCTGTCAAGTTACGCACACTAACCCACAAGTCTTTAAACCTGAGCAAATTACGCAATGTACACATATGTCAATTAACTCTTATTACAAATACATTTCAACACGTGTTTAATCATCCGCCAACAAATATTTTATTTATTAGTAATTAACGAACAGTAATTTATACGGAATACGTTTAAATCAAGCAGCTGCATAAACGATATTTAACGGAAATTAGTCTCGATTGGGTGTTATTAGTAAACATTTTGTAGCACCTGCATCCGAATATCTCTTCCGAATTAGAAAACAATATCGAAACATTCGAGTACAATGCTACAAGTGTTTTAATACGTTTACTTAAAACCGCCGTAATTATGAATACAAAGGTGAGTCTTTGAAGGTACCGTGCAAGACCTACATTAAAGGGCCGCTTCAGATAAATTAAAAGCAATATAGAGCTCTAAAAGGCAAAGAAACACCGAAGTGTGTTCAAGTTATTAGAACTCGTAACACCGGCAGATGTGCCAAGTGAAACAGTTTCCTTTGAAGCCGCTTCCACTTTATATGGCAACTTAGTGTTCTTATAAACAGTGACGTCATCAGTAACAATATACTAACTTTTCCATCTACCTCTTAGTGTATACATTAATTCACCGCAACGCAATTTGATAATGTTTAATACAAATGTTATCTTATGTAAAAAGTAAGTTGACATACACAGCTCTTGTTTACGTGTAGTTATCAGAAGGTAGTATATACCTATTTAATTGTACAATGCTATTTTTAGTATGAAAATGAGAGTGACCCAAAGACCCGGATGAGGGCCCAGATAACGAAGGGCGCGACAGAAACTATAAATACAATTAAAAGTTTTCCAACCGATAACCTTATATACTTATCAATTTACGCAGCACAAATACTTGCGGCAATTTTGATGTTATCAGATAATCCCGTTTGTTTAGCAGTCCATACACCTGCACATAAAATAAATTAGTCTCTGAATTTTAAAAATAGGCCACCTTCGCAGTGCATTAATAAATAGCGCCAGCAATAATTCGCAAGTCAATTAATTATTATTAATAAACAACCATTTGCTTACGTAACTAAAGTACAAAAGCAAAAGGTTGTATAGATAGAAATTATATTTACCTGTAATACTCTTTTAGGAAGACCAGTCTTCTGGCTCAGCTGTTTGAGGTCTTTTGCATCGGGATTGTGGTTGATTGCGAAGTACGACTTCATTGTTCTCAGCTGGTGATGTTTGAAGCTGGTCCGCATTCGTTTGGTGCGTGAGGTGGCACCCAGGCCACCTCCACCCCGGAAGCCCATCTCGAGGTAATCAGGATTCAAATCTGATAGGAGAAGAGAACAGTCATGCTGCTAATTGATAAATATAATGCTAACCTAAACATTTTTATACTATATTATGGTACTGTAAATCAAATCAATTTTAATTCAATTTTAATCAGATTACGGACTTAAAAAATTTTAAACTTTAAATGTTCTGATTTTACAGTAGACAATAATCGTATTTCGATTAATAAATCGTACACACGATTTTAAATATTATGACAATCGAATACTGCCTGGAATGTAAGAAAGATAATGTACGACACTTATCAAAACATATGAAGAGAGATAAAATATCATTCGCGGTGCCAATTCGCAATTAATAAAACATAATTTATAAAATTTATGTATTGAAAATTAGGTCACAACTGACTCTAAAGCATGGTGCGATAACTTCGTGTTTTACATAATTATATACAATATGTAAATTGAACGCCTAATACAAAGGCGTACCGAAAATAAATAACGATAAAATGAAATCGAACTAATGCCAAATTAATTTTTACTTAGCGATACAAAAACGTGAATGTAAAATGGAGCTGGTATATTAAATTCAAACCAACATTTTTTGCTTGTAAATCGATTATAACACGTAATTCATTGTTTTCTGTTACTTCTCAGGGTTTGCAAGCTTCAGCGTGACGTATTCGTATCGGTAAAAGCACGCTGGCGCAACGCGACGCACGTTTAACGACCAATAAAAACTGCTGCCAATAAATATTCCGAAACCGTGAATGCCGTACTGGACATAGAAATGCAACGAGTTTGCAACTCCTATTTCAACATAAAATTCGGATATTCGCTTAAATATTTCATAGCTTTCAAGTGAAGTGAGAACTATAGAATGCAACGTAATTTTCGTTAAAATGCTAAACTTTTCTAGATGACGTTATTGCAATGGAGATAACCGAATGTCCTAGATAACTTCCTCTACGATTTACCACTTTGTTCTACTCCAGTAACAGTATCCCATTTCACGTGAATACTAATACAAACATATTAACGATCTAGGCTAGATCCAGATAAGTGAAGAGTAATAGACCAAAGCGCTGATTACTCTAAAATAAATAGTAAAATTAGCTGCAACGCCTTCTCCGGTTCCGAGTCTTGAACGCGAACAATTAGCAATGTGGGTAATTATGCAGGGATTCGTTGGAGCATTTTACTCAAGAGCTAATGGTAACCGATTCGAGTTAAATGGAACACTTTGAAACGTGCCGCTTGCAGCTCGGCGTGATTGTTGATTGTTTACTTTCCGAATCGGCACACAAGGAAGTCTACTATTGTTTTATCCTGACCGTGTTGGACCTTTGGTTTAGAATCTTTACGATTTAGCTTTCAATCTTCATCCTTTCGTGAAACGTGTATCACAGTATCGCATTCCGTATATAAGTTTATGACAATAGACTTTTGAATAAGTTTTCGAGTAATAAGTTGCTTAAAAGTGAAAATATTTTCAAGTAATAAAAAGTGATCCCACACCGATCGCAGTCTAGATCCGTCGCGCTGACGGGACGTTTGTTTGTTTCGACATGATTTACGCACCCACTGTCAGCGATAAAACCCGACACAAAACTATCTAGATACATGTCGGAGTACAAAATAACCTTAATCATACTGGCTTTAGAAAAGGCCAGGTGTCCGCAACAGTTCAATTAAAACTGGCCAAAGTGTAGTCGCCCCAAGCGTTCGTGCATCGCTTTAGCGATACGGTCTCTCGGTGAGCAGAAAAGAATTTGCATACAAGAGAATTTCCATGTTTTACTTAGGATACCTAGCACTAACTGAACCGAAAACTTCACACGCATTAATTATGTGTTACTAAACGTTAGGGTGATACGGCATTTTTGTAACAAAAATAATCAGATAACTTAATGGATTATCAATGTTATATTCTAAACATGTCAGAGCCATGGGACGTGACGCGTTGGTTTTTATTCCTAAACAACTATTAAAAACACAAAATTTAGCAAAAAAGATAAAGATCGAATTAAAAAGGATGCACATTTGGTGATCCTTCAGCATGTCATCTTATCAACAAATAAGATCTGAATAGATGTTGCGTTCGCTTAAGGAAGACGTTATTAATAGATTGAGACGCAAAATGTACCTTTATAAAGGCGTTGGTGCACAAAAAGTGTTGAAAAAAACCACGCTGCTTGTAAAAGATCACTGTGATCCCATAAATCGTACGTACCATTCATGCTTAGAGGCCGGCAAAAAATTGATTTCCTACACGATACAGCCTCGTCCGGTGGCCAGTAAATTCTTATGAGTTCAAAAAAAACGGAACGGAACTTAAATTGATAAAAAATATTTACGAATTATTTTCAAGGGGGTTCTTGAATCGTTTTTGAGTTTATTGCTCGATTGGATGTCATGTTTGAGTTTGTGTAGCTTTCTAAAAAGTGACGCGCATTGCTAACCGGCAGGGGGCGCTACCGACTGGCGTACACAGGGCTGCAACCGCTGGTCGGAGCGCCGCTCATATTTCAACTGTTATTACTACTTAAAACTGTGGACTCCACTACGCCGATAGATATCAAACATCATAAACGACGATGTGTTTAATATTCCATGTGTAGTGTTGTTCTGTTATTTGTGGAAGAATTTCTTTATCAACGGAATTTGTTGCATTCTTCTGTGACTTAAATATGTATATTGTATACTTAATATATGTACTGTGCTAAAAAAGACAAGAAAACTGTGGTTTTTACATTACTATGGGTAAATGTTTAGGTAAATTTGTCAAAATAATTATTTGTACCAACCTTTTAGTTATTTACACTTCGTTACCTTAAAGATAGTTATAAAAAAACAGATTACATAAGGGCAGCCTTATCGCTAAGAAGCGATTTCTTTCAGGCTACCCTAGTTTGGAAAAATAATTAACAAAAAAAATTGCATGGAACACTAAAACTTATATCTAAAAAATAATGATAATAAAAAGTAAAAGCTAATCTTAGGGTTAATGAGTTATAATTAATAAATATAAGAAGCTAATTACCAGGCAGAAAAGAAATACTCAAAAATAAGATTCTTAAATAAATTTAAAGACTGAGCACGTCTGATATCAAAAGGTAAGGAGTTCCAAAGCAGGATACCATTCTCATAATAGATGAATTGCACTAATCTAAGATTTGTGAGTATATCCACTAACTTACAAACATATGGTTGAAGTAGCTGATATATTATTTAATTCTTGATAAGCAATGTATAACACGAAATTAGGCAATTTTCAATTTTATCGATAAGTATTCACCACACTACATTTACGACATCCCGGGCTTTTATCAATGCATTTAATTGGTACACTCATATTAATGTACATTTTTATTTGGTATAAAGTATTAAAGTTATAAGAATTGTTTAATATTTAATATTTTCCAAGAAAACATGCGTTATGACTTTGGATAAACGTTGTCTGATAAAAATTTATTCAACTTTCAATATCTGGTTAAAAAAACATTTATTCCAATAAGCACAGTGTTTTGTAATCGCGAAAACTAAATAAGCTTATAAACGTGCTCCGAAGTCTGAAAGTTGAAATCTCTTTCACGCAGATTTACAACACTTAAACTTATCAGAACTTCCAAATTTAAAAATATGCAAACAGTGTTTTATATTAGTTGTAATTTAATTGACTAAACGAATATCCCGATTGTAAATGACATAAACAAAATGTCGTTATTCTAAATTCAAAAGGGTTTGAGTAATAAATAAGGCTTCAATATAAAGCTATTGGGTCGGTGTGCCACTGATACAGATGTCTTGTGAGAGATAGCGGCTTTTACAAAACGAACTAACATGGATATCACATTAGCCGACTGACGGCTAGTGAGGCCATAAGTGAAGTTATATTCTGAACCATTTTGTAGCTTTTTAATTCTATGTATAACAGGTAGCAATCCATAAAACAGTTGTTGAAAAAAACTCTGCAAAACATCCGCTTCTTGACGAACCTTAATATAACAAATATTGATTTTATAACTTATTTAAAGCTATATAGAAATCATTCGTGTTAACCTTTTATATACTTCCCAAAACAAAATATATATAACGTGAATCGTTATCGAAAGATATAAGAAAAAAAGGTTAAAAGTATCCAAACGGCTTTTTGTTCAGCAAAAATAAAATGTTCTTTTTTAAAATCCACTACCGTCGGCCAAGGAACGCGCGTAATCTGTATCATCGTTGGACGCTACTCGAAGTGTCCACAGCCGAAAAGAAATTACAAAAAAACCGGCTACATATTTTGGCGGGAAATAAATCACTTTGGCCGTAGATGCAAGACACGGCCATACAAAATTTATGGCGGTGCCGTAAGCAGGGCGGCTGATAGAAAACTACTAAAAACAAAGTAAAAACGAAAAGGTGATTCCACGTGACCCCCCAAAGCAGATGCGACAACTTCATTACGATATATTTTACTTCGCTCCCGTTATTGAAGTAGGAAGTGTTTTTTTTTGTTTTTGCCCGTTAGAACGTAATTTATGGGCATACGAATCGGAAAGCCGTAGGCCGATGGGTGACTGAAAATATTTTAATTGTTATTACTACCTGTTAATCAGGGCGTTACTTATGACATGAAAACTTTACTTAAAAGAAATTGTTAATTACTCTTAAGATATCTGGTTGTTTATCAAAATTTCTGTTTACCTTGTTATTCAAGGTAAATAGGAAGATTCATATATAAAATATTCAAGGTTTCCTATCGAAGCTCATAAAGTTGACAAGATACTGTGATAATCACTACTATCGCAGTAAAGATCTTTGCACTTAAAATGTAAGGCAATTAAAGAGAATTTTTACTATAAACCATTTTCATAATTACTATTTGGTTGTTTATGTTTATAATTTCAAGTTCACGCCAGAAATAACCACAGCATAAAATAGTCCAGACTACAGTGACAACTTTATATAAACAGTTAGTAATTAATATTGTCTGTGAAGTTAAGTCGACACAGATAATCTAAAAACTATTTGTTATGTTTATTTTTTTATTTTAAGGACTTAATGTAAGGAGTTTGTATTATGAAATAAATATTGTTGCAGACACGGTTGTTCTAAATAATAATAGTTTTTGCTCAATCTCTAATATATTATGCTCTTCAAAAAACAGTCGCTTTGGCAAATCTATTACGTCTGGGCCTCGGAACTTTGTAGAAACACCAATAATCATGTAACAGATATAATATGAATTTGATTATGGTGATCGCTTTGATTTTTGGGTCCCTGGTCCAAGGCATCCCGGTAACCTTTAGGATTTCTATTCACAAACTAACTAAGTTTAAGGGAGCGGGGTGTATGCCCACATTCTTCGTAACCTAGAATATTTCCTGGCTATAAACTACACTAAAATACATTTGAAAATTCCACTAGAAACACCAATTTAAAAACCCTTTTCAGTGCTAAATAATTATGGCAATTATATACAGGTAATATTAGGAAATTAAGTTTCTAAGACTGGGTTCTGGCGAATGGAGATCCAAAAATAGGTGTCTAAACTCTGCAAAATTTATGCTTTATCCTAATAATTTTAAATAAATTAGAAAAATAGTTTTTAAAAGAAATACCTTCTCAATAGTTTGTAATTTGATTACATTTTATTTTACAGATTAATACGTAATAATTTCATTACAATATTTTTATTATATTAACTTCTTAATGGATATTAATTGAATGTAATTATTTTTATACCAACTCTAAACGATGTTTATAATTATTGTAATAAACAGTAATTTTAAGAAATTTTATGTCAGTTACGATGATATAACAACATTTAATGATAATTGTTATTTCGATAAAAGAATTTAAGATATACAAGTACTGTAGAGTTTATGTTCTTATATATTTATGACAAGTCTTATTGAAAAGCATGTACTAACGATACAACATTCTTATAAAACTCAGAGTTGTTTATGCATCTGGAAATGGCTAATGTTTATTTTTGGAAAAGGTCACAAAGACAAATTTAGCCAGTAGAACAAACATTTCTAGTCTTTTTTAACATATGTATATTAGCCTAAATATCTGTTTAAAGTTTGAAAAGTGTTCTCTAATGTTACTTCGAATATAAATGTTATTGATAAAGCATGATGACCTGTAATCATTATATTAAATTTTGAATTTGTAGGTCGCGTCTATAGCGTTCTCAAAAACGTATTAAGTCTCAGCTTTATGTTGCACTATGTGTATTTTTGTCAAAGTAGATCCCTATAAACTCTCTTAGTATAGGTAGATACTTGATATAATTAATAAGTATACTAAATTTAAATTTCGTGTACCCTCTAGATAGTCAATGCATCCCCTTTTGCGCGTTTTGGCTTAAACTCACTGATATCACGGATATCCATTGTTGCTCGTCTCACACTTTGAAATCAATTATCCTTTAGTTTAATCTGTATATAAGTATATTTTTTTATGTTCACCTATAAGTGCTTGTCGCATTAAATCATGTATTTTATTGTTCTTAATGTACCAATGTATCAATGTGCCAAGCGTTGGCATTTTTAAATAATATAAAAAATTAAGTCGTTCAAAAATATAAATTGACCGTTAAATTAAGCTGTCCTTACTTGGGAACTGGCAGGCATGGAGTTGAACTCCAGAACCGTATGCCTTTCACCGGCATTACGCAATGACGTTCCCTTATAATTGATATGGCGGCCATGAGAGGGCAGAAAAAGTTGCGCCGGATTCGCGAAAATGGTCACCCAAACAAAAACTAGCCTGACCAAAATTATAACTGGATTGGGCGGTGCATCTCGGTGTTGCCTTTAATAATAAATAATTACTTATACATTAAATTTTTTATGTTGTTCAAATTCATGTTTAATTAATGTGCTTTACAGTTGTAAAATAATAATATAACTAATTTTATTTTAGTATAAAGTATTAATATGTGGTTTACTTAACGAGTACCAGATTAACTTATTTTCTGAAAAGACAAATAAATTTAGTTATGCCCAAAAGACTGGAAAAAATTACTCCGCCCCATCCGGAAAAAGATTAATGCGTTCATGAAACCAAAATTGATCTTCATGTTTCGGTATCGTATTGCTTAGGGTGAAATAGTAAACGCTACTGCATATTTATGGGACCGCATTAGTTTGGGGTATTGGTTCAAATAAACCCTTTTTAATAAGCGTTTGTTTTCCATTGATCAGCAATGGACTAATTTACTTAAAATATTTGACCTCACTTCACATGTTATGAATATTTTTTATATATCTTTTCTTTTATATAAAGAATAACATTTTAGTTTCTATACTAATATTAAGAAGAAAGATTTTATTGTACTCGGAAACTTTACAACCGAATTTGAAAATTTCTTATAATAGACTTTAATATATTTTATTAGACATCTTTATATACAAAAAAGTCCGCGATTTTTATGTCTAACAAATAAAACAATATTTTTGCATTTAAAAGTCTATTTACCGAGAAAAACAAGCTGAAAATAATAATTTCTCTGAGGTCTACTTAATTATTTACATATGCATGTAGAATACATACATAAGAATCGCCACAGAACGTATAAAAGTGATTATGCGTTTTGCCCTTTTTATCCTATCTTGAGAGTCAATTTAAAAAGTAGAAATGCATTAGTTCCATATTATAGAAAAAGGCTTACATATCCTATCAATCACCCCACCTTCAATATAATAGAAGCAAACGATGCATAAAATTCTCGCGAGACAATCACTTGGAAAATTAATACGTCAAGATACGCAACTTTACTCAACCATAAATATAGGAGATGTAATTAGCTATATCTAGCTTAGTGCGGACAATTAACGTTTTGATTAAGTTATTAGAATTGTTTGCGTAATATAAGTATGATTTTTGCAATGATGCGATAATTCAACAAGGTTATGTAAGATTGTAGAAACGCCTAATTTTGTAGGTTGGAGATTTCAAATTTGGAATGTATTCGTGATGCGAGCCGGCGCGAGAGCACTGTCGGTGGTACCTGTACCAGATAAACGAACTGGTTTCAATATCTTGAAGAAGCGAAATGTTTTCTTTTTATAAAATACATGGGAAGTTGCCCCTGATAATCCTTTCGGGTAAGTGGAGTTTTGACTTAAATGTGTTAATATAATTGTAAGCGTTTTGCGATTCAGAAAAAAGGACCAAGATTATTTTGTTATTTTTTTTAAATTCCGTTACAACCGTTACGAATATTTAGGTCTGAAGCTCGGCACTTATCACGTAAGTAATCTGGGCTTATTACAGTTTTAGTAATTGAAATTTATATTATTGTTTCTGATCAATGATCAGGTAGAAACCTGAAAAGATTACCTACAGTGAAAGACGTCTCCGCTAACGGGTGATGATAAAAAATGGTCATAACTTCGCTCCTGCTTCTTAATTCAAAAACTATACTTACCAAGATTAGCAGACATCAGGTCTTGATCCTTCGGCTTCTTTTTTCTAGGTCGCCCTTTTTGTCGTGGTGGAGGTGCCGTCGCGCCATTGAAGAATGGGCCTTTAGGAACTTCAGCTTCGACTCGTGCAAAGTCGGGTGATGGGTAAGGAGGATAGTGAGGTCCCTGTGGGGGACCGGCGTAGGGGCCTGGGCACATTTGAGGTGGTCCTGGCATGGGCATGTGGGCTCCATAGTCTGGCATCGTTTCATAATGTAGCCTGCAAAACAAAATGAAATCTATCTCAAACACTAAAACGTTACATCGTTACGCTAGATAAATTTCAATTATTCAAGATCATGTGTTAGAGATATTTTAACGTCTATGTGTGTATGTGAGGCTTTGCAAACAAAATCTTAATACACTGCTAATTTTTATTCATTACAGTTAAAATTAGCAAAAAGGGTACAAAATTGCAGATTGTTTAATGGTTTTACGAATACAGCTAGAGTTTATCTTTGATATCACCCTTCCTTCAAGAAAAGAGCGTACCAATTCTTGAAAGGCCGGTAACGCACTCGCGAGCCCTCTAGCATTGAGAGTGTCCATGGGCGGCGGTATCACTTAACATCAGGTGAGCCTCCTGCCCGTTTGCCCCCTATTCTATAAAAAAAAATATCAATCCTATAAGCATACCTGCAGTATACAGCCGAATCTCGTATGCCAAACGTATCTCCTTTCGTGAGCCTGGTACTGCAAAGTGCACACGAGAAGCAATGTACATGGAACACCAGGTCCCGCGCCCGCATCACCAGCTCTGACGCTGAGATTTGGGTATTGCATCGCGCACACCGTTTTGATCCGTATAACCTGTAAACAATAAACTCAGTCTTAAATGAATTGCTGTTAATCAAATTAATTGGATTTCAACACCTTAACTTAATTTACGTTTCACAGCAAGCATGTTCTCTGACTGAGGTGCTAGATAAAGCTAAAAACACCACTTTTGTCTCTTATATGGTAGATAACCAGTTAAGGGTCATTTTGTTTATAATTATTTTAGGGTAATTTTTATAAGGATAGAAATATATAGGAAAAATGAGCCTACGGTACTCCTAAAAAGGGCAGTCATCGCAGCCCATGGACACCCATTTTAGTGGGTGCGTCGCCGGCCTTTGAGGTAGGATTATGCTCTTTTTTTTAAACAATTTGAGGTCGTATCTCCCAGGAAATACCGCCACCACGAGTGGATTTTACTGTGATTTATTAAATATGTAATAAAAACTTTTTTCAAATTAACAAATTTTTTTAGTTAAAATTTTTAATAGGAGCCGAAAGTACGAAGCTGAGAAGAATAATATCAAGTTCACAGGAATGACAAAAATGTAAGTCAATACTAGTTCACTCGTTAAATAAATAATTTTAATGCGCGCTACATATTGCTTTTATTTCTGTAATTCATATTTTATTTATTATACAGCTTTTACAGTCCAAGGCCAGGGACTTTATACAACTCAGTCGCGATATGTAATGGACATAAAATACTTCAATCATTGGTAAAGATCTTTTTCGGCTTCTTTACTTGTTCGTTCGTACCTCTACTATGTGTCCAAGGGCAGATATATTTCTATGTCAATTTCATGTTAAGTTATAACGGCCTATACCTTATAACCACAAATTAACCACAAATGTTGGTCACCATTTGTGCCACACACCCTCGATTCTTGGTCTAAGACATGCCGATTTTTTTACAATATTCCTTCAACTTTTGAGAATGCAACATCGCGACAAAGAAAGAATATTACTAAGCGTTAGGTGTATTAATTAAAAAAAAAACTTTATATTTCACCTAAGTTAACAGCCGAAGACCCTATAAAGGTTTCTTAAGAATTACTTTAATATCAGTTCGCTATACATTGCTATTTTCACACCTCTCTTACAAATAAGAGGTGAATTTAATACCATATACACACCGCTAGAGACGCATTCAACAAATTCTATTGAGATAATTAAAACCGGTATGCGACCGAGATGAAAGATAGTAGGTTCGACTCCCGGCACCAAGTGAGACATCTCCGTGTGGTCCCGATTCCACGACTTAACCATATCTCGATCGGGCAACGAATTCAAAATTTTAAACAAAATGCTAGTGACGGTATGTGAAGGTATCATTAAATTGGTAATTTTTAATTACCTTTAATTGATATATGATTGTAGCTTTGATAAATTTTTGGTATTGCTTTACCTTAACAAGCTACTAGACGACTTATTAGTGGCCTTCTAATGACACTAGTACAAGCTTTTTACCTTAAACTTAAACGCACAATGTACCATACGTACTACGCACTATGTTCGCTTAGGTATAAAACTGCACTTGCTTTTGCACATATAATATAAATGGCATTATTAATAATCTATTTTGCTTGTCAGGTTATTAAAATAATTAATAACTGTTTGATAAGCTTTGAACTTTTGTAAATAATGCTTTTATATCTTTAAAATATTTGTATTATTTGTGCTTAAGCGCCAAAAAACCCTTTCTATGCGGTAACATTTAATACTTTTTCAAAGGTAGTCTAAATGTTCAATAATAATAGTGAAATAGAAGCAAAAATATGAGGTACACCCTTCATTGGAATGTAATAACCGAGATGAAAATATTGGTCCAAATATCAATCATAATTTTACCAGCGCAGGTCCCGTCAACGTTTCCAATTAAGTAATCTCTCGTATAAATTATAATATCTTGATATGAATATAAATATTCATATTAAAACAGGTTTGCATTGTAAAACTAGATCTTAATAATGTTTATATAAGAATATGTCAATGAATAATAAATGTTGTTATTGTGGCTTCAATATTTCCACGTCGTACACAAATATTTACGTCCAAATACAGAAGCAAAACATCAGACGACATTTTCTTATCAATAATAATTAATAGTTTCCAAAAATAAATATTACACATCTCTGTATTTAACTTCGATCATTCATATCCCGTTCATAAATCTAAAAACATACCAATCTTTGTCATAGGCAGATATATGAATGATTTATGGGATTAGCATTTTGGACCCAACAGTAGGTACTGCTAACTATTCGAAGACTTTTCATAGACATTTTATTAGTTCATGTCTAAGAGTATTTAATATTGAAGCATTAGTTGATAAAGGATGTAATTAATAGAATGACCTGTTTTCTTTCTTTAATCTCGTTCTGTTCTAATTCTCGTAATAAATACTGAAGGTGTAATGGTGGATCGGTTTCTCGTTCCTTCCACGGATCACCACAAGCTTCTCCAAGTTATCGCGGCCACTGCGTGCTCTAAGCTCAAGCAAGATCCTTTGGTAACACACGTAAGAAAGATGACTGTTTTAAATTTCCAGTATTTAATTGCTTTAGCAAGTTGGCGATAAAACATTACGCCCAAAAACGAATTTTATAAAGAACAATATTCCCTTAAAAACGCAGGCTATCTTAAAAGAACCTAAACCATGTAAAATTCCTAAATTCCATAAAGAAGAAGTTCAAATATATTGTATATGTACATAACACGTTTTTAAGTCGTAAGGTTCGTCTTTCCATATAAGCCCTTGAACGCCTTAAATGAATGATTGCCGTTAAAATAATTATTAAATAATTCTTTTTAAAACGATATTCTCTATATGGGCCACAAATTAAAGCAGTTTCAGTATGGAATTTGTTAAAATACTCGCATATTTAATAGCATCATAAATATTTGCTAATAAAAAGTTTTCTACGATGTAGGTACATAATTATTTTAACTATATGAGTAAAAGATATTTTTCAGATGTTTTTAGTTCATTAAAGTGATCGTAATTTTAAAAGATAAATCTCATTTCCTTTACAAAAAACACCGAAATATAAATATTTTTAAATGAGTTTGACGTAGATATTTTTTGCGAATGATGCATTATAATTAATGGCACTAAAATAAGTCTGATGTCGAATTTTTAAAGTAGGACCAGTGTACATATACCTATATACTATTCAATCTCTCCCTCTCAAAAAGGGAGAAACATGTCTGTATACTATGTCTGAATACAATTACAGTACTATTTAAGATTACTAAATGTTGTTTAGTTGTTTTCATGGCACTCAGGGCACGATTATCGAATGTTTTGCGACGAAACGTCTACTAAAGTTTCAATCGCTTTTTTGTTTAATATGAAGAATAAGGTGCACATAGTTTACGAAATGACTACATCAGGGCAAAAACATAGACGCGCTTACCGCCGCCTTACAGCTGAAATGGCCAGACAAAATATGGAAGCCGAAGCCACTCGCTGGAGTGGACAGGAAAAAGATACGTGTTAAGACCACAAAAGCGTTGACTAAAGACTTTATAACGGTTTTTGGGGCGAATTGGATGGAGGAAGCCAAGATCAGATCCAAATGGTATGTTCAGAAGGAGGCCTTTACATTTTTTGTAATTTTTATAGTATGGAAATAGTGGCTTTATTACTATTATTATTAGTACATACTATCTACGCTTAAAATACTGGTATTAAAATGAAGCTATTGAGTGGTGAAATGAACTGGTCACGAACGATCGTATCACTGACCACACATCTTTAACTCTATAACTTTGAAGAAACGCCTATTTGAGTCACTATAAGTAATATTAAAATTCAATTTAATTCTTTTTTTTAAGGTTAAAATATTACCTATTTGTGCATAAACATTAATGAACTTTGTTTTTCGATATTCATTGAATCTCTTCAAAAAACCTAAATTACTGTAATTGAATCAATTAAGTATGAATTAATTGGCGTAGCGTACCGCAACACCATTTGTTACTTCGGACCCGAAACATTAACAAACAGAGAGAGCAGAGACGTTATGAATGAAAGCGGCATTAATATGTAAGTTTAATTTTTCTATAAACTTTCTCAAAATATCTTGAAAATTGACTCAAGAATCCGCCATCCGATCGCAGTCAAAGTTCCGGAATTCAAAAACTTTACAAAAGTACTGTGTTTGAAAACAGATTTCCCGTGTCGCTCGTTATTAGTTTTCTTTACAAACTTCCGTTTACAACTACCAGTTTTAACAACTGCATGAATTTAAAAATTTTACGTCGACTGTCAAACTCCGAGAGCATTTCGAAGAATTTAAAACATGAATACTTCGCTAACAATCCGTATATTTCAGTATGCAAGTAATAACAAATAATTACGCCAATTTATTTATTTGTATTATATATAACTGTTCGAATTTTAAAAGTTTAAAAACGATTGAGATGATTTAAAGTACTTTACGTGAATATGGAATATATTGTATTTATAACGAACCTCATACGAGTTTTTATTGAACTTAGGTAGATAAAAGTGCAAAATAATTACTCGTAAATTCACGCATAGTATTCTTATTAATGTTTTATTTAAATAAAATATATTTTAATACTATAACTTCGGAGACGTCTTTAAGGTTGGTGTACGAAACCAAAGTCAGTGGAGTAAAAATAAAACTAAATTTATATACAAATTAAGTGTTATTGGGTATTACCCTGTTGTAATGATAACAAAGTGTGTGGTGTTAAGGAATCGGAAAAATAAACCTATGTATAACTATGAAAAAACCTGTGGCGTTATAACCTTTGAAGGACTATTTCGTGACCATTTGATTTTGTAATAGGCAAGTAGGTTATCAGTATTCAACAGTCAACTTTTTGGCAGTAAGGCCATCACTAATTTTTCCTTCACACTAAGATTGATTGTTAATGCACACATAAAATATCCATTGAAGAAGCCGAGAGTCGAACACGACCTCAGGTATAAGAGGCGCATGCTCAAGGTACTAAGCCATCGCTGCTGTATAATATTCCTGAGTATTATATATATGTGATTCTTATAAAAATTAAATTAACTACATTTAGAGCTCTATATACTGATTCTATAACATGAAACAAATGGCTATATAATGTCTATATTCCCTTGAGTCTTTAGCGTACGTTATTATCAGTTTAAAATATGAGGTAAATGCTAACGGTAAATAAAATACCATCTGAACGAAACCACTTCCTTTTTTAGCGGGCAAACGTATATTATCCTTTGTAGTATTATTAATTACCCTATTATTGTACCACTTCTCAGAATTGATAAGAGCTGAAATAATATTGTGTAATTTATAACTCTAACGACACTTTTATCACAAGTTTTTAAGAATTGAAAGTTATACAGAAGTGGAGGAATTAAAATAAGGTTTTACATAATACATATAACACACAAATGTACACATTGTCTACCATTAGCACGATACACGTATTTATTACTTAGTAATATACGAAAGAGCTGGAAACCCTTTATAATTTTAGTGTATAAAATTAACAATTAACAATTTTGATTTTATTAAATACGCAGTATAATAATGGCAATTCAGCGTAATGCTGGCCATACTTTACTGTTTTTATATATATAAATAGTAGACTTGGTTATTGTATATATGTATAAAATTGGTAAATAATAGTTAATATCTTAATAGTAGAAAAAGTAGAATAAATGACGTGGGAATGAGACCGTTAAAAGTTTGTGTCGTGTAACATTGCGTGATGGGATAAGCAATAGGAGCAAAGATAAAAAAGGAACAGCTTCGGTGATTTGGCCATGTAGAAAGTATGAATGAGAAGCGGCTTACGACTATGATATACAAGGCAACCCTGGATGGTGAGATCAGGTCGGGTAGGCCTTGTCGTACCTTGGCTGAATACATGACGTACTTGAAAAGGGACTAATGAAAAGTACACTAACCGACGATCTTGCATGGTGAATGTAATGAAAGGGAATATACCGATAGAGGTATGTAAGAGTGGTAGGAATTTGAGATCCGTTCTCTTATATAGTTAGTAATTATTTTTTGGAAAAGGGATATTCTTCTTTTATAAAATCCCAGAGGCTCTTTTATCTCTGCCTTTTAATAAATTTAAGAAATGTATTAAAGAAAGGCTGTGTAAAAAGGCTTACTATAAAGTTAACGATTATCTAGTTGATAAAAGGGCCTGGGACTAGTGCTAGACAGTCTACTTCTAATTAATTTGAGATATTGGTTTTAAAATAAGTGTTGTTTGATGAGTACCGAGAGTTT